TAGTAGTAGTAGTAGTAGTAGTAGTAGTAGTAGTAGTAGTAGTAGTAGTAGTAGTAGTCAGTAGTAGTAGTAGTAGTAGTAGTAGTAGTAGTAGTAGTAGTAGTAGTAGTAGTAGTAGTAGTAGTAGTAGTAGTAGTAGTAGTAGTAGTAGTAGTAGTAGTAGTAGTAGTAGTAGTAGTAGTAGTAGTAGTAGTAGTAGTAATAGTAGTAGTAGTAGTAGTAGTAGTAGTGGTAGTAGTAGTTGTAGTAGTAGTAGTGGTAGTAGTAGTAGTAGTAGTAGTAGTCGTAGTAGTAGTAAAAGTAGTAGTAATAGTCGTCAGAATAGTAGTAATAGTAGTAAAAGTAGTAGTAGTAGTAAAAGTAGTCGTCAGAATAGTAGTAGTAGTAATAGTAGTAGTAGTAGTAGTAGTAGTAGTAGTAATAGTAGTAGTAGTAATAGTAGTAGTAGTAGTAGTAGTAGTAGTAGTAGTAAAAGTAGTAGTAGTAGTAGTAGTAGTAGTAGTAGTAGTAGTAGTAGTAGTAGTAGTAGTAGTAGTAGTAGTAGTAGTAGTAGTAGTAGTAGTAGTAGTAGTAGTAGTAGTAGTAGTAGTAGTAGTAGTAGTAGTAGTAGTAGTAGTAGTAGTAGTAGTAGTAGTAGTAGTAGTAGTAGTAGTAGTAGTAGTAGTAGTAGTAGTAGTAGTTGTGGTGGTGGTGGTGGTGGTGGTGGTGGTGGTGGTGGTGGTGGTGGTGGTGGTGGTAGTAGTAGTAGTAGTAGTAGTAGTAGCCGATACGGGCTCGAGGCGGCCAAGGAAGACCAAGACGGCACAGGCGCGATCATTCCCGTGTTGGGCCAGAGCCCCTTCGAATCTGATCTCTTCCAGGCCACTGCTGGGGCTGGTTTGGGAATCGTTGTGGTGCCTCAGGTTGAGCCCGTAGTGGTAATTGACCGTTGGGTGTGGTCAAAACGGCGTAGCAAGTTACATGCAGAAAAATGCAACAGACGAGTCCGAGAAGCGATTGTAAGATGGGTGCCTGGGCGACCCTCGGCCAGGCGGAAATCATCAATCACCTATGCGCTGCTATGTTTTGGAGTTGTGATTCATCGGCGAAATGGGCCGACGACGCATTCTTGGGGGCCCATTCGATCTTTGAGGCCAAGACAAGGCCCAAGTAGGACCAACATCGATCAGACATCGGTCCCGAAAGCGTGCTGTGAACGATCTGGCGTTCGAGCTCGTCTTGGACGCTGCATTGAACGCAGTGAGCAACGGAGTGGTGGAGCCAGTTGTGGGAGCAAAAGGCGTGAAAGTCTAGAAGAGAGTTCTCGAAGTTAAATTCCATACGCTCCTCAGCCTGGTAGGCGGGCGAATTCTAGGTGCGGAAGTCTAGAAGAGAGTCCTCGAAGTTAAATTCCATACGCCCCTCAGCCCGGTAGGCGGGCGAATTCTAGGGTGCGTGCGCAGGCCCTCCGCCGGCTCCTCACACAAGGGCGGGCGACGGACGAGGCCCAGTCCCGCGGTCTGCCAGCCGTCTTTTGGCCAGGTGTCCGTCTTGGGAATTACGATCTTCAGGAGGGAAAAAATACACAGACACAATTAATCGTCGATTCCGCAAAGAATACGGGAAAATATGGGAAGTTGGGGGGGAAGACAAAGACACAGAAAATAGAAGAAAATATGGGGAATCCTGTTATTTGTGAGTATTTATTTGTGTGTCCTTGGGCCCCTTCCGATCTGCTTGGTTCAGGTTGGGGCAGTTTGTGGGTCTTCCTGCGCCGCTTCTGGGAGAGCCGTCTTGGGGTGTCGAGAGGAAGCCTCAGGACGGGCTTGGGCCGCATCGGAGCCGTCTTGCTAACATGGGCCATCGTGGGCTGCTTCTTGGGCTGTCTGTGGCCTCTGGAGCCCATCGCGGTTTCGTCTTGAGTCTGACAGCAGGGTGTGTCATTATATTGTATCACATATGCGCAAGGTTTTAGAGCTCGCTTCGCCTCACCTCAGTGTTAGTCCTTGATCCCTGCATGTTTCTGGGCCACGTCGCAATGACGAACGGCGTGAGATGTGGACTGTTGAGGCGTGCGTCCGGGGCAAGAACGACAACGCTTGGAAAGCTTCCGTGTGAATTCGAGGCCAGCTGTGGGCCTTTGGACGCGGGTGCCAGCGTGCCCATGGGGATCTGTCTCGGGCCGTCTTGGGCGGTCAGGGGACCATCAGGAGCGATTTGGACGATCTCCCAGGCTCAGCGGCAGAGGAGAGAGCCGCTGAGAGGCCGGGAAGGGCCTCGAGGATTTCGTAGGGCTCTCCGCACCACCAGAAGCGCCTTCCCTGAACAAAAAAGAAAACAGCTTCTGATGGGCTTGCCATTCAGGCGAGAGCCCCGTTCTGCAAAGGAGTTGCCTTGCCTCCTCCCAGCGATTATAGGGAGGAATCCGAGAAGGTATACTCATTCAGTTCGACGCGGTGTCCAGCGATGTCTCCGTTTTGAAAAGGACCGCCCCCATCTGTGTAACTTCTGCGCAGGCATGTACTCCAGATTTCGTAATAAAGGGAGGGGGGTCTCATTTCGGGGGGGGTCTTTTCCAAGCTATCTTGGAGGGCCTGGGGGGGTCTGGGGACGATGTTTTGGAGGGTTCTCCCACGGGGGAGGTCTGAAATGGCTTGTCTTGGAGGGTCCAGACCCCCTCCCTTTTATTACGAAATCTGGAGTATCTCTGGGCATCGACTTCGAGGAAGTCTCCAACGAGAACCGGATTGGGAAAGGGGCCGCCCTCCCTCCGTGCAGCTGTGACACGTGGCCAAGCCTCTGGATGATGGATGTGAGGATTTCTGACGCAATCTCGCTTGCCCCTCTTGCCTCCCTCCCCCTCCTCTTGTCCTCTTGTCCTCTTGTCCTCGTTGCCGCTGCTCTCTCTCGCTGTCGTCGCGCTGTCTTGGGTATCACTGCCGTTCGTTGTCTCACCCGCTTCCTATCGATAGCATTAGGGGTAGCTTCCCGGAGCTCTGTCCGCCACCGAGAAAGAAAGAAATAATATATCACCACCCACCAAACCACCCCAACCCAACCCGAAGGCCTCGATTTGCCCTCCATTTCCAGTTGGGGGGGGTCGGGGAACACTGAAAAAACACATATGGAACCCGTACCCCCCCCAACGCGAAATTGGGGTCTTCGGGTTGGGTTGGGGTGGTCTGGTAGGTAGTCAATATAGCGGATTTGAGAATGGAGCCGGCATCCACCCTCGTGGCTGTTGCAAAGAGCGAGCGTGCGCGGCGCGAAAGGCGAGAGCACCATTTTTTGAGAAGGAGCCTGCCGTCCATCCCCTGCAGCGGCTGCAGGCGTGTCAAGAGAAGAACGCTTGCGGCGCGGAGGCGGGAGCTCTACTTTGAAAACTGCCCCACCTCCATCTTGGCTGCTGCTGCACATTTCCAGGATGAGTGCGCGCGGTGCTGAGCCGAGAGCTTCGCAATTGAAAACGACGCCTCTCAATCCGTGTGGGCGTTGTAAGTCAAAAGCTTCAGGATCATAGATTCGGCTTCAGGGTCAAGGATGGCGGGGAAGTCTCGGGCGAAACGCCCGGTCCATTCTACTGACAAGGCGCGACAGGGAGAAGTTTCTATGAGGAGAAGGGATGGATGATCATCGGGGTCATGGCCGACTCCTCCAGTGGCGCGCAGGAGAAGGCAGTCGACGAGGGCGTGAGGGTCATCACCCAAGGCCCTCCGCCTCTGCGCACTCTGATCTGTTCCATCACGGGAGAGCCTCCCAGGGAACGGATGTGGGTAAATTCCAGATGGTGTTGTCGGGGGCTTGCTATTTTGTGTGCAAGATCGATGCCCCTGACCTCCTCCTCCTCCTCCTGCTGCTCATTCTGCTGCTCCTCCTCCTGCCCCTGGGTCTGTTACCGCAGCTTTTCTTGGATGAAGTTCTTACTTGGTCGATTGCTAACGTTCCTCTGGACATCCACTGGGACGACTTTCGGGCACTGGTCGCCACGCTGTTGAGATTGTATCGGGCTTTTACTTCGCCGTCCTTGTGGCTTGATCCTGAATGTCGTAAATCTGGCGTCGATCCTACTTTTCCGCGGGACGTGGCATTCCATGCGTTCTAGGATGCAGAGGTTTGGACAGGGTGCCAGTCTATACGTAGTAATGATTGGACATCGCTGCCTGCCACCCGCTCAAATAATATATATATATATATATGTATATCGACGCGTTCGATGCCTGGTCGTGGAGGGATGCCGCCGAGACCGTGGAAACATTGTACGCCGACGCATTCCCCGCCCTTGGTGGCGAGCATGAGCTGGATATGGTACCACCGAAGACGCTTGACACGCACCTTTTGCAGGCTGACTTCGCGCACACGGGCGCTCTTCGTCGTGGAGTCGACGTCATGGACTTGGACATCCCGTGCCCGCTGTGTGGGGAGCTGTTAGACTCTGGGGGATTGCGTGCGCTGTCGTGCATGTCAGGGGAGGGGGACGTCACTGTTCAGCGAAATGGCGCGTGCGACGTATACTTCGACATTTGCGAGCGCGTGTGGCTCGGCTCTCTGCACCCCGCGTGCTGCAGGAGGAATTTGGGCGGGACGACAAACGAAGGCCAGAAGACGTACTGTGCATCTCCGCACTGGCTTTGTCCAGGCGCCTTCCAGATTGCTCGCGCGCGATCCAGACAGAATCTGTCTGCTTCGATCTCGCAGTCATCAAGGCCCTGGGGGTTGGCCAGTGGCAAGAGACATCTGCCATGGCCGGGGCCGGGGCAGCGGCCGATGGGTGTGACCCAGGGGAACGAGCCGACCAGAGCACGGAACAGGAGTGCATGGCAGCTCGTTGCCGCTGGGTCGGCTGTCCACGGGACGCTGGGCGGAATGGCCGAGGCCGTCTACGCGACGGTACGAGACATCGCTGTAGCGGCGGGCACCGAGGAGCGCCGCGAGCCAGCCGTTGTCAGGCGGGAGCTGCTGTCCCGCGTGGCTGCTGCGGTGGTAGTTCACTGCGCTACCCGGGTTATCAAGACGAGGACAGC